CCAAGGACTGCAATGCTGAGCATCATTAACTCTCAAGGTTTTTTCCCAATCCTGTCCTAGAGGATGTTGCTGGGATTTCTGGACTGCCTCTAAATTTCCCCTACAAAGGTTTCCTACAGCTGCACATTCCACTGCAGGTTTTTATTCCTTGGCTTTTCCACCAGCAGAATGGTTTTAAGGAGTGACTTTGCTCAGGCTCAGAGGTGCAGAGTCTTTCACTGAGTTGTGTCACACACACACACAATATTCCAGAAAACACACTTGTGAAAAAGCCTTTCCATCCAAATCCACAAAATCCACTGTTTTTTAATTAATTTACCTTTTAACCCCCCATTATTCCAGAAGTATAAACCAGAGCTCCTTCTCATCAAGTGCATTCAACTCTGACACTAAGCTAATTCCTACTACTAAATAAATTATCCCCTCAAACAATATAAATGAGAAAACACCTTTCTTCAGAATGCCTAAAAAGAAAGAAAAAAACCCATGTGGACATGTTTTATGGCATTATTTCAGGACGAAAATAGGTGGAACAGAACCTCTATTATTCAGTCAAAACCTTTCAAATAAACACAGTAGTTTTGGCTAAAGTTTTGTTGCAAAATTTGTTACTCTTGATTGCAAGAAAATGTCAATAGGGAAAAAATACAACAGATTGAAATATTACTCTCTAAATTAGTTTTTTTTTTCAATAATGGCAGCAAGATCCAGCTCAGCCATTAAAAACTTACCTGAGGAACAAAGAAATCATGGCTGTTCTGCTTTGGCTCTACCCGAGTGCCACGTGAACCATGAACACAGGCAGGGTTTATTTTAACACACCACCCATAAATTATTTGGGATGTTGTGTTTGTAAAACACAGCTGTTACTGTTGTTACTGCTGTTCCTCCTTTCCAAGCTCACACTCAGTAAAACTCCACCATATTTTCCTTTCCCTTCTGACCCACCTCCAGCTACGAGAACCCCAAACGAAACACCCTCAGCTCCAGTTGAGAACATTTCAACGTTTCTCTACCTCAGAATCTTTGAGTCTCACATAATTAGATGGGAAAACTCCTGATTTATCACCCAGCGTGCCCGTCCACCAGTCACCATCTTTCTTTGTCACCAGAATCATGTCACCTTGTTGGAAAGTGAGGTCTCCTTGCTCCGAGCTCTCGTAGGTGTACATGGCAACGTACTCTGGGAGAGGGACACGAGCAGAAAACAGGGAGAAAACACTTCAGAAACTGCTGCATTCCCATGTGCAAAACCCAATTTGTGTAAGTGGTTTATTCACAGGCTTGATGGAAGACCAATTTATAATTTACTTCTCACAGAGACCTCAATATCCCATGCAAAAAATGATACCTAGCACAACTAAATATAGGGGATCAAAAGGCTGCCTCGGGGGGATTTGATATGATTGGCTTGTATAACTAAAATATGCATAGGTCATTTATATCCCTCTGCAAACACGTCTCCCAGTGGTTTCTGGTTTGTGCTGGTGCCTGGAACTCTCAGTGTTTGGGATGGGAAGTCTCAGTATCTGGAATTTTGGATCCAGCTGCTGTTGGCCCAAGGGCACAGGGAATTCTTTCAGCCCCTCTTACCCACAGATGGGTCCGAACCTGCTCTGGGCAAACACACCCAGCTCCTCAGTGGTCCAGTGCAAACCCACCAAACTGGGCTGGTGTTGAGATAATTCAACCAGAAGTACAGGCAAAAAATTATTAGAAAGCCCAATTTCAGACAATTCAGCACCATTATCTACAGAACTCGCTGTATCCTATTGACCTGAGCATTCCCACACTTTTCTGGGCACAAAGCAGGCTCCTCAGGCTGATTTTCCCCTGTTCTGGGCCCAAGAGCAGCTCCCAAGATTCCTGAAAGACTTCCCTGCCCATGGAACAGGAATGTTCACGTGTTCCAGTGCAGCTGGAAATTGTTCTTTGTGCTTGAACGCTAAATCTGACCACAAAAACCTCCTCTGGGGGTAGTTCAGCAAGAATTCCAACCAAATTCCTGTTCCCAAGGAAAGCCTGCAGCTGAAGAACTCCCACTTCTGTTTGCACCCACACACACCAAACATCACCATCCACACAGGAGCCTTTCCTAAATCCCCCCAAGGGAACAGAAGATGCTAGATCCATCTTTTTTATGTCTTCAAAAAAGCTCTATTATTTAAAAAGCTCATTACTTAAAAAGCTTTATTATCTCTTAAAAATACAGCTCCTTGCAAATGTTTTCCCAAAAGTTAAGTTCCTTTTTAATACAAACATATAACCTGATATATATCTATAAATATATATAGATATATAACAAGACTTAGCATGTCTGCCATTGCTTTTGCTCAAATATGAGGAAAACCAGAAGGAGAGGATCTTTAAGGTCCTTTCCAACCCAAACCACTCTATGATTCCAGGAAATGCAGAGTGAGCCAGACCAGCTGTATTTTGAAATAACTGATTATCTCCCCTTCCTCGTAGGTGGATCTTTGCTGTTCCCCCCAGTCAGGAATTCCCCTTTTAAAACCCTCCAGAGGCCTGGAAATGCTCTGATAATTCTCTGTCTGGGCCCCAGGCTCCATCCCTGACCAGAAGGATCCCAACATTCTATAACTCACTGTCACTGCTTTAATTAAGGGTTTAATGAAACATTGGAAATGAGCTTGGGGGGAAGTTGAGACATTTATTCCCAATTCCTGACATCGTGGACACGTGTTCCTGACAACATGGACAGATGTGTTTATTTGGCATAACCCCCTCCCAGACCAGAGATTGTTACCAAAATGCTGGCAAAAAAATAAAAACATTGGGAAAAGTTACAAAATACAGAAAATATCTTGTGATATGTTAAATTATTTCTTCCACATACACAGGGCATATAAATTCTTGCCATAATAACTTCAAATCATTCTAGAGGCAAATTGATTTGCACCTCAACTGGAAGCCCCCAATCTACCCCTGAGGTTGATTTTGGTAACAAGCAGAGTTGTTGTGGTTAATGCCAGAGGAAGATCCTCTCAGTGCCATGGTTTGGAGTCCTTACCTTCCCCTGACATCGTTGCCTTTGCTGCTGGGGATGCTACTCTTTTCAGACTAGCAGGGCTTTCTGAGGATCCAGAATCCATGCTTTAGGAGAAAATAATGGTTATATAAGGAATTCAATCTCTTCAGAAAAATCAGTGTTATATTTCAAACTCAAAAATGCATATGCACCCCCAAGCAATTCCCTGTGTTTTAGAAGAGCCATAAATGTGCAAAATAAAGCTCTGAAGTCCAGTTTCACTGAGGCAGATGCCTTAACAGAGAATTTTTCTGCATCTCCTCTTCTTCCTCAGCAAAAAAAATGATCTAAGATTCTTCTCATTTGTATTGCTGATGTCCATGTTGCCTTCACACTACACAGAATTTAAATTCCTCTGAGAATAATGAGAAGTGATTTAGATTTGAGGAATCTCTTTTAATTTTGGGGAAAGATAAGCTGTGACTTACACTGGTGTAATTCATAAAATCCAACAGACTCATTTTTTTGGTGTAAGTCACCTAAAATTAATTAGGTCCATTAATGCTTTGTTGGTGAGGCAAGACCCAGGGAGAACTGGGGTCAGTTTAATTGCCCACATGGATTTCCAAGGCTGGAAGTCCAAACTCTCCAGAAGAGTCAGACAAGAAAAGGCACTTTCACAGAGTAGATTCTCAGCTTTAAAATCCGACTGTGCAACTCCTCCTAGTTATTTATCTATTCCAGTATGGGAAAAGCAAACAAAATACCTCGTTGACTTCCTAATGGGGCCTGAAATGAGCTTCACGTAGGATTTGGGGAACCACCCCTTTTGTCCCTGGACCTCTCCAAACCACCACATGTCTTGCTGCTCCAGGACTGTGATGACATCATTCTTGTTGAAATTAAGGTGGTTGTCCTTTTTCGCCCTCCAAGGATACAAAGCCTGTGCCTGAAGCCCCTCCACTTTTTCACCCTTAAAAAAAAGACACAGAAGTCAGTCAGGTCCCCCCCTTTCACCAGGAAAGATGCTGGAGGAATTATATTCTCAGGCTACTTATGGAGCAACAACATACAGCCCCTCCCTCAGCTAAAGCATCACCAGTTAAACTTCCTGAGTAATTCCAGAAATGTTTACAGCCCTCCTACATTTCTGGCTGTTGACACATAATCAGTATTAAGTTAAATAGCTTTACAATGAAAAAATACATGTAATAAACCTTCAGGCAGCTGATTTGGCAGAACATAAGTAAATAAGTAAATATGGAAAATGATGCTTTGCTGATA